CTTGAGTTGTATGTAAAATTTAAGAAAGTAAATTGTTAGATGCAAATTTGGTTTTTTGTTTACCATTTTCTGTTACAGAGCACAATTTAGCAAAAATAGTACAAATTTATGGGATTTCCTTGTTTATTATTTGTTGTATTTTAGTTTATCCATGCATATGAGAATTAGCGTGTGAAAAGTAAGTCATGTCTGAGTGTGTATTTGCGTTTTGGTTAATCCGTTTTCTTGCGGTATTGTAGTTGAGTTTTACCAAGAAAGTTGATGAAAATTGGTAATTTTCTTGGTTACAGTTTTAGCTTCCGTTTTAGCCATGCATTATTGATGCTTGCACATGTTTGTTAGGTAGCTTAGTTTCCTTCTAATGTTTTTCATATTATTTTTCATCCAGAACCCTCCAAGTTGTGACAAATGTTTTTTATCATCTCCATGCATGATCCACGTGTTTATAACTGGTACAATGCAAGAAATTTCTTTTAGTGTCATCTAATATCTCATTTGCTGTTGATGTATATAATTAAATTTGGCCAGTTTTGGAAGGATTTATAGTTGAAGTTTTTCTTTTTAAATTTGATGGTTAAACCACGATCTCTACACCATTCAAGCAGAAAATTTAATTATTAAATTATTCAAATGAAAAATATAATCCCTTCAAATGGACATTTAAGGTTATGTATTTGTGTATATATGCATGTATACATATATTTGTGCATGCACATGTTATATACATGTGTGTGTGTGTGTGTCGTGTGCTTGTGGTTATGTAGATGTGTAAGTATATAGTACCTAAACATTTTTTTTGGCTAGCAGTTGCCTAGTAATCAATTCTCTGTTTATCTTGGCCCATTAGTTTGCTTGTTTTGGCTGGGGGCACATGTTTGTGGCATAGGTCCATAAAAGAAATTTGTGTGTGATATTGTGGCATATTACATAAAGGTGCCCTTAAGGGACACGTCTCAGTTATTGTTTATGTAATCCTTTTTCTTAGAATTTTTGTTGGTCAATTTCATTTTCTTTTTTAATATGATTATCTCTTTTGTGATGTAGGAATTGAGCAGATACTTCAGGAAGCTCAGCATCGATGGTTGCGTCCAGCTGAAATTTGTGAAATTCTGCGGAACTATCAGAAATTTCATATTGCTCCAGAGCCTCCACATAGGCCTTCTAGTATGAATTATTTTGTATTCTCATCCATATCTCAGTTGTTTCTTAAGATATCTGTACCCATCCTAGAATCTCTCTCTCTCTCTCTCTCTCTCTCTCTCTCTCTCTCTCTCTCTCTCTCTCCCTCTCCCTCTCCCTCTCCCTCTCCCTCTCCCTCTCCCTCTCTCTCTCTCTCTCTCTCGGGCAAATAGCTTGACTGTGATGGTAAGAAACACACTTGGAATTTTGGAAACACTGGGTGTGTTCGGTTGCCTAATGGCAACAAGGAAAAATAAATAATCATGAAGAATCTCTCTCTCTCTCTCCCTCTCCCTCTCCCTCTCCCTCTCCCTCTCCCTCTCCCTCTCTCTCTCTCTCTCTCTCGGGCAAATAGCTTGACTGTGATGGTAAGAAACACACTTGGAATTTTGGAAACACTGGGTGTGTTCGGTTGCCTAATGGCAACAAGGAAAAATAAATAATCATGAAGAATTAAATAAGGTAGTCAAGTCCCTAACCCAACACCTAAATTCACCTATGAATGTCAGGTAAACCACTTGAATCAAGCCCTTTGAAAAAAAGTATCGCCCCTCCAGGATTTAAACCAAGGGAAAGTTTGGTGAGGGAAAAAAGAAGAAAAAAATTCCTCTGTCAGCCTCCTGTCTTTTGACAGAAAAGTCAAGTCTGATATGTAATTTATCAGTTTAACACAACATGCTGAAAGTTGTGTTCTTATCTTCTCTCATACTTTAATATGTGTTTATTCTGTAAGCTGTTTGCTTGTAGTAGCTTTACAGTCATTAGGGTTTGATATGTTCGATTTATCAATTATTTCCATTATGATAGCTTCTTTTTCATTTTAGAACTGCAATTTTAGTTTCGTTTCTTTCTTTTTTTCCTTGTTCCCTACATGTACTGTGATTTGTTAGGAGTAGCTAAGATCTAAGAATCTGGCGACTTAATACTCTCCAAAACCATGTGTATATGCAACAATTAGTCATATTTTTTTGTCAGAAACAAATTCTGACACAGTGTATTTGCATGATCAGGTGGTTCACTCTTTCTTTTTGATCGCAAGGTCTTGAGGTATTTCAGAAAAGATGGTCATAACTGGAGAAAGAAAAAAGACGGGAAGACCGTGAAAGAAGCACATGAGAGGCTAAAAGTATGTGAAAGGCAAATCTTTCTTCTATTTTCATATGTCTCAGGAAAACATATCATTTGATAGAATCTATTAAGCTGTTATTCAAAGCTGTGTTGCTTTGCACCTCTTATATCAGAAAAATGGTTTGTAACTACATTGCCTTGGACCTCTAATATGTGTAATATCAGAGATAAGATTCTAAACTACATTGCATTGGACCTCTAATATCAAATAAGTAAACTGAATTGTGCATAATGATTTGCTGTTCAGAACCTGAGTTTCAGGAAGTGTCTCTAGTGACCATCTGTTCGTAGAACAATGAACATGAAATTTACCCATGCAACTTTACATCTGATATCCTTATGCGCTCTTCCAATTACAGGCGGATAGTGTTGATGTTCTTCATTGTTATTACGCTCATGGAGAAGAGAATGAAAGCTTCCAAAGACGAACTTATTGGATGCTGGAAGAGTAAGCATTGGAACCTGTATACTATGTTTCATGTTGAGTACATGTTTGTATTACTGAATTACATCAGTAAGTTTCATCAGTTATTTAATTGGTATATATTCTCCATATATAATAAAACAATACTCTGTACACTCTCATGGCACTGTAGACTTAGAGCAGGTTGTCTTCTTAAAGAGATATATGGGGTATATCTTGCACAACTCTTAACTACACCAGCCCAAATATATCCGCATGCCTATAAGCAAAACTCTTATGTATTTTTTCGTCTATATTCTACAACTTTCACGGCATTATTTAATTCTGCTTGAAGTAGATGTCACTTGTGGTCTTATCTTTTCTCTTCTTGGGCATTAATGTAATATCTGGTTTGACCATTTTGTGCTCTCTGATATTGCAGGACGTTCATGCACATCGTTCTTGTTCACTATCTTGAAGTCAAGGTTATATTTCTGGCAACTCTTTACTTTACTTATAAAGTCTTGTAAACACCCGGTAGAGTACTTTTGTATGATTTTTGTTGTGGCCAAGTCGTTTTTTTTCTTATATGCTGTTAACTTGCATGTATTCATTAGTGCGTCTTCATATGTTTTATGCGTATGACTTGCTTTTCCAACATCAAGTCTGTCATCCAATTTCTTTTTTTCTCTTCTTCCATTTTTTGCAGCTTTTAGTATATTTTGCTTTGGATGTATGTCCTGCATGTAGGTGAAAATTTTCAGTCTAGTGGATCATCTAGCCTAAGTTGAAAATGAATGAGAAAGGAAAGGGAGGGAGGAGGGATAATAATTGAGAAGAAGGAAACCGACAATTGGAACCCAATCAGAAACAAGAAAAGCAGAACAAAAAACATGAGAAAAAATTGAAGTAGTGAAGAATGAAACTGAAGAGGGAGTAGGCAATTATGGTAATGCCAAAATTGAAGGAAGTCAATGGCAAATGGAAACGGAGAAACTCAAATACGTTAGTGGGAAAATTGAAAGGAATTAGAACGAGGATGGAATATTAGAAGATAGAATTGTCAAATGAGTAAAAGCAGCCTGTAAGTCTTCTTACTACTTAGTTTCTAAGCCAAATACTTAACCTATTCTATTATGTGTGCAACATTTAAGGTCAATTAGTAAACATGCTTATGCATTGAGTTCTCCGATCTTTGTAACCACCCATGAAGTTTCTAGTTGTTACAAGAAAATAACATCCTTGAATTTAAATACCCTTCAAGTTTCTAGTTGTCCCAAGAAAATTGTAGCCTTCAGTTTCCATTAAAATATTCAATTTTATATATCCATGAATATGCAAAATTTTCTAAAGCTCTTGTTACCCAATCAAGCTCACAGAAGAACACCTCACTGTAAACTTGCACACACGTGTTGTTGCCCTACTTGAATGACATTTACTGTGCCATGAAGTGCTTGAACTGCTAACATTTGTATTACTTGTTGTAACATATGCCCTAGGTTATGCACATCTCAACTGCAAATGGATCAGATATGGATTGTATGTAATATCTGAATCTTAATTCAATAAGGAGATCAGTTTTAGACTTAGTTCTTGCCAAAAAATTCTTCAATTGGGTCCTGTTGGATACTAATCTTAAATAGACTTTTCCATTTATAGATTGAAATTACTTTCTGTTGGCAGTGGTTCAGTTTTGTTGTAATAAACCATTTTTATATTAATACTTTATAGACATAAATACCTTTTGATTAATGCAATATTGAATCTTTATTTATAATTTGATAAATGTACTTCAAGTAGATTTATTTGTAAGATTGCTGATACAGTAATAATCTGTATATGTTCTACATGTTGTTGCAAACTTTTTCCCCCTTTTTCGTATTTGGGTTTCTGGTTTAAAAACAATCATAGCTAAACACATTATGATAAGTTTTTTGGATTCAGTTTTGAGACCCAAATCTTATAAAATATCTAAATAATTGGATGGTGCTATCAGATTTTCAGGTGCTATTTTTAGTCCCAGGCACATTGGAGGCACTTGCAATTTTTAATGATGACATACGATATGGTGTCCAGTTATATTTATATTTATCTATAAAGGTGTCAATGCAGAACTTCACCATTACTGAAATTTCCCAGTATACCAATATAGGCATAACATATGTATATTGAAAAGTAGATTCGCGAGAAATAAATATTGAAATATACTTTATGAGAAGATATCTCTCTCCAAAAAATTTCTTTGACTTTTTATTTTTGAGTTTCCAAATTTATGTGGTATAAAAATGCATACAAAATTTATTATAAATTTTAACATATATGGCATTCTTATAAAACAGACATGCTATGAGGATGTCTGTGTGCGCGTATATCAAAGAATAAGACTAGTTTCTGTGTAGCAGATACACATAGAGTATGGATGTTTTTTACATATTGAAGTGCAATATTCATCTTTTAAAAATATTAGCGTGCACTTTTGGAGAGAAGCATGAAAGTTGACCTTTTTTGTACTGTTATGTACTTTAGTAGTGAAATACTCTATAATTTGGCACTTGGATTTGTATCTGGCAATTTAGAAGGTCGATTAACATTATTCTTTTACAACAGCAGGAGCCCATAACAAGGTCAATATACCTAGTGATGTAGAAAAATACAGATGATGAAATTTTTACTGGTACCATGTATCTTTACATGTATAGATATCCAATGTCTCCCCTTTTCAGTCTACAAACTCTAGAGTTTGCACTATATGTGCAGATAACTCGTGTTTACTTTAAGGTATATATGTTATATTTTGTTTCTACCATGCTTGTTGATTCATCCTATCTTGATGCCCTAAATTATTCCAATGAGTTTAGTACTTTGCTTGAAAGTAAATTATTAGTTACCTGTTAGGTAGTTCACCTGGTGCTTCTGGCACTTCTAGGTTCAGAACACTGTTCTACATTTTCAAGCTTGGTGTGAAATTGTCAGTTCACAGTGTATCGCCTCTTGTACCTCTTTGATCATATTCTATGATCATGGATAACATGCTATGTCCATTTCTGTCTCACACTATAATTTCACACTGATTGAGAAACTCATAATTTTAGTTTCCTAATAATTTCTGTTTCTGTGTTGCTATCTAGCATCAGAAGCTTGTTGCTTCTGTGTTAAATTTACTCCTGCTGTGAGTGACTATTTGTTTATCATCATTTTGCTATGTGCATGTATTACAGTTGATAGTGAATAAACATGTCTGCTCCATATACGTCCTCTACAAATTTATTATTGTGTGTAGTAATTTTGGTATTATGCTGTCAATGGTTTCATCATTTGTTTTAAAAACAACCTCATTTTCAGCAGGCTACCTTGGAGCACTTCATCCACAGCTTACCCTGTTATGTAGCACTTATGTAATGTGAAATCATTCCATAGACTTTTTTTTTGTATTTTTTAAGTTACATCCAACCTCATCTTCTCTTGACTAATTTATATTAAAAAGATTAAATTGGAATTAATTACCGAGTCACGGTTTTACTTTTTTATTTTCTGGAGATTGTATTTTTATTCTCTACTCGGTCTTTTATGAATTCTTCTTTCATGCATATTCTATGAACAGTTCTTAACTTGGATGTTTGTCAACACTGTAATCTGCTCCTGCAGGGTGGCAAAGCAAGCAGTTATAGCCGTACCAGGGATGATAAAGAAATCACGAAAAGTTCCCAGACGGACAGTCCTATCTGTTCTAATTCTTTTACAAGTCAGGATCAATTGCCTTCACAAACTACAGATGCTGGGAGCCCAAGCAGTGCTCAGACATCAGAATATGAAGATTCTCAATCAGGTATAACTTTCACTTCTTTGTTGTTAAATCCTGATGTTCTCTATTTGAAAATGATGTTAGAGTAGAGTTACTTTGAGGAACAGTATTTGCACCTAATATAGGTTCTGATTGATATTCCCGATCATGCATCCTTTCTTTCAGTGTATCTAAAGCGAAATTCGATTCAGCAGATAATTATCAAGCCCGATCCGGACACCACCCTCTCCTTGGGTTGCAACAGTATGAGAATGGACATTTGATGGATGTTCATTTGTTGAACTCAAATATTCCAATTTCCTCCCTAATTAACCAGTGTAAGAGACTTTCTTTTGTTCCACCCTACTTTTAAACATCTATGTTTCAAGACAATTGTACTGATTCTATTTTGCATATTATATCAGATAATAATCAAAGTTCGTTGGTGTCAACACCAGAGACTGATTTATGTTCTGGTTCTAAAGAGAGTATAGCTAAAGTATTTAATCGGATAGGCCTTGGTTTAGGATTTAATAGCGGCAGAACACAGCTTGACTTACCACCCTGGGATGAAGTCCTGGAACACCATGCAACAGGAATTTCAAGCACGCCTGTCCCAACTTCTCTGCAAGCGGAAGCTGCTGCAACGAGCGACATTACTAAGCAAGTGAACTTGACATTTGGGGAACTTTTAACTGGCGGAATCAATTTCAAGCAACAAGATGAAAGCAAGGCAGAGCTGCAGGTACCATTCTTATAGCCTCTATTATATGAATTAGTGTAATTTCTATTTTCTTGAGAATGCTCGAGGTTGCTACCAGTGCTAATGATATTATACAAGCTGTGTTGCTCACATGAGTGCTGTAATTCAGGCGCTGTCAAAGATATCAATCTGTTTGCACTCAATAAACTTTGAATCAATTGAGAAGAGTAATGACAGCCCAACTTCCATTTTGTTTCTCTCATTGATTTGTATGGTCCAAGCATGTTAATAAAGTTGGGAGTTATTTTTAACCATAAAGAAGTACCACCATTTAGAACCGGGAAATTATGTAAAGACTGGTTGAGTCAAAAGAGGTCATCTATAGACCCCCAAAGCATGAAACAATGGATTTAAATAGATCATATGTCCCTCACAAGTATTTTTTTAAGCTAATTCCAGCTATCAATGGTTTATCACCTCGTCATAGTTACTGTAGGTCATTTTAGTATGCTGTCTCTTTTCTAGTTCGTGCTTAGATTGTTGACTCCTGTGATTTAAGATATGTAGTTCGTGTATGTTGTTGGTTCTAATCTTGGGGCTTCATATATTCAATTTTGTGTGTGACTTTGGTTTCTTTTAAAAGTGATCAAGTCCGTCTCTGCCAATAGGCTGTATACCAGAGTGGTTGGCATTGTAACTGTTGTTGTCATCTTACTCCTACTAACATGTTCTCACACCACTATAAACTTCTTCTAGTGTTCTGAAGCTTGATGTTTTCATTTCCAAATGCAATGATAGAAGCTTGAGTATCCTTATCTAGTAGTAGAAGAAATTTTAAAGTGATGATATTTGCTGTTACCAAGGCTCCCTTTGCTTTGTAGTCCTAGAAGCGTACCTTTTCTGGCTTTGATATTTTAACAAACATCAAAATTTTCAACAGAATTTGAAACTTAACATATATTTCTTGATAGTATACCAGTAATAAAAAATTTCAACAGAATTTGAAACTTAACATATATTTCTTGATAGATACCAGTAATCAGTCAGCAAATAGAAACAACAATCAGGAATCAAGTTGCGTCACCATATCCTTATGGAACATAAATCCACATGTGAACAACAGGAAAATATACCTACTTATCTCTTCACCTTTCAGATGATATTAGAAAGCCCGAATGACCCCTTTCAGATGACACCCAATATGCCCTCCCTCCCCTGCATGCATGCACAAACATGGACATAAATATAGTTGTCATATGTTATAAAGATCAAGATCAAAGCCTGTCATCCCAATATTTCACACCGGCGCCCATTGACATCTTTCAATAGTCATTAACTTTTAGTCAATGAGCATAGTTTATCCTTCACATTTTTGTCCTGTCAATGACAAAAATTAATCAGAGTAATCATCATTGCTATGATAGTGGATTATCTTCTGCATATTTTGAGAACTGAATTGGATCGGAAATTTTAACTTTCTGTTTTCCTTATGTTAGATTTATAGTGGCATGTTCTTTTATTGTGGCATGTTTCTTCTTCAGATTTGTATAGTCTTTTTTGCAATTCAGATCGTTTGATTTTTAGTTTTCCGAAAGTACAAATTTCTTCTGTTTTTCCGGTTCAGGCCTATTTATTTTGTTAAACCTTGTTTTCTACCCATCCCTATGCTTTTTGTGGTATTATTTAACTCAATAATACAACCTTCACTTGACAAGTTATATGATCCATGTATAACTGAATGCAAATGATTCATCTCACACTCTGCTTATCTATCATCTGTATTCAGCTTTTATTGGGAGGCATCGATTTAACCGTCTTATGCAAACACTACTTTACTCTGCAGGAACATCCTCGTGACATCGATTCTGTCGCTTCATCCCAAGCCAATGTAAAATGTGAACTTTCTTTAGATGGCATTATGAGTTCCCCAGCAATATTGAAACAGTCATCAGCTGGACTATCTAACGTAGAAGGAGAAGGCTTGAAAAAATATGACAGTTTCTCAAAGTGGATGAGCAAAGAGTTCACTGAGGTAGATGATCCTCATAAATCCACCTCTCAGGCCTATTGGAATTTTATGGAAAATGTGCGTGTTGATGATTCTGGAATGTCGAATCCAGAGCAAGATGCATTCATTGTGGGCCCCTCAGTCTCTCAAGATCAACTTTTCAGTATTATAGATTATTCTCCGAATTGGGCATACAGTGGCATAGAAACTAAGGTGTTGAATCTGTACTTGAATCTCCTAAGCAAAAAGGAAATATTTTCTCTAAACTTACTGCACTGTGCAGACATATGACTGCATATTATAAATTAACAGTTTGGCTTCCGCACACAAACATAAATACGTTAACCATTATAACCATCTTCTTACTCATAAATATGCTTGTTGCAGGTTCTAATTACAGGGACGTTTTTGAAGGAGAAAAAAGATGTAGAGAACATTAAACTCTCATGTATGTTCGCTCCGTTGTCATGCTCCACCACATAAATCTGGAAGAGTTCCATTTTATATTACCTGCTCTAACAGACTGGCTTGCAGTGAAGTGCGGGAATTCGAGTTTCGAGTTAATCATGCTGAATCTATGGAGACTGATGTGAGCAGTTGCAATATAAATGAAATGCACTTCCATATTCGTCTTGGGAAACTACTAACACTTGGATCACTTGACAATTCAAGTGGCTCTAACATTTCTCCTGAGAAGGTTCACGTGAGAAATAAAATCAGTTCACTTCTTGTGGAAGCTGATGACAAGTGGTTCAATATACTAAAATTATCAAATGACAATGAGTTCTCTCCTGATAGGATAAAGGACCAGTTGCTTCAAAAGCTACTGAAAGAGAAGTTGCATGATTGGCTTATTCACAAAGTCGTTGAAGATGGAAAAGGTCCTAATGTCCTAGATGAGGAGGGTCAAGGTGTTATTCATTTAACAGCTGCTCTTGGTTATGATTGGGCTATAAAGCCAATAATAATTGCAGGTGTGAATATCAATTTCAGGGATGCACGGGGATGGACATCCCTTCATTGGGCAGCCTCTTGCGGCAGGTAAATTCATTATCTTTTCTTCATCGTTGGTGTTGATAAATGCTAAGAAGTGTTTCATAATTTGGTTTTCTTGCTTCTTAATATCTTTCTGTCTCTTTTCTTTAAATTTTAGAGAGCGGACAGTTGTTTCTCTGGTTTCACTGGGTGCAGCTCCTGGAGCATTAACAGATCCAACTCCTGATTTCCCTTCTGGAAGAACACCTGCTGACTTAGCATCTGGAAATGGACACAAAGGGATTGCTGGGTTCCTTGCTGAGTCGTCTCTAACTTCTCATCTTTCAATCCTTACTGTAAGGGATACGAGAGGCATTGATATGAGTGATGTGTCTGGCATAGACGGCATTTTCAATTTAGAAGAGAAGAATAGCACTCAGCTTGTTGATGGGGGCACAGAGGCTGGTCTTTCCCTGAAGGACTCATTATCTGCTGTTCGTAATGCTTCTCTTGCTGCAGCTCGTATTCATCAAGTGTTTAGAGTAGATTCCTTTCAGAGGAAAAAACTGGTTGAATATGGTGATGACCAGTGTGGAATATCAAATGAGCAGGTTTTATCGCTTATATCTGTCAAATCAAGTAAACTAGGACAACATGATACACCTGTACATGCTGCTGCAATAAGAATACAAAACAAGTACCGTGGATGGAAGGGAAGGAAGGAATTCCTGATTACTCGGCAACGAATTGTTAAGATTCAGGTAATTGTTAGAGATCCAGTCAGTTATGAGTTTATAGTAAAAAACTGTGTTTTGTGTATATACAGGTGGGTGGGTGGGTGGGTGCTACTCTAATGGGTGTTTATAGCACCATTCACCATGGTTTACATGTCATGAAATGCATGCGGATAGATTATGTGGCTTGGGTTTTTAACACTCATTCAATGGTTGCAATTGGAAAGGCAATTGAATATAAGATGAAATAGGTCATTTGATGGATGCTGAAGGCTTTCAACACAGATTGTCATCCACATATATTTCGTGATGTTTGCATCAAGAAGATCAGTCACCATTGGGTTGCCCATCATTGTTTGGAGTCGGTTACGAGTATGTTCCTGGGAAACAATAAAGAGTTGGTATTATGAACAAATAGTCATCCATTAACTAGCTAAACACAAAAAAGTTGCTACTTGTAAGCAATGATAATTGGTCCCTATTTTTTTCTCTATTGACATTTAAATCCCTACTACTGTTCCTATTAGGATTTTGGTAAGTTCTTAAAATGAGTAATACGCCGCCTCCTTTCAATGTATGTTCTCATCTCTTCTTCTAGGATTTAGAAAGCTGTTGTATGAACATAATCATTTCTTCTATTTCGGAGGAAACAAGCAACTAAAGTTAAAAAAAAGGAGGCTAAAGTTAAACGAAAATAAGAATCCATTTGATGAGGAGAAGGTAACATGAGGATTCCAAGTGTATGTACTGAGGGAGGGAGGTAAGCCATTTTTGGAATAGTTTATTCATATACTAATTGGATATGTTGACATGAGGAATCTCTGTGGTGTATTGAGAGAAAAAGAGACCAAATTGCCATTGCCATTTCATTACAAATTGAGGCCTTTTTTGGGTGTTTATAGGGTAGTTAGTGAATAACTGTGTCTTACATGGTAGATCATTCTCTTCATGTGTTCAAATCTTTTTGGGTGAAGATGTAGTTAGCAAACCACTGGAACAGTATCAAACAGGTGTTCAAATGAATACTTATACACGACCATCTGACAGCTTGGACATCATGATCAAACATTGATTTTGTAATTAGGTAGGTAGCTAGGGGTTCTAGGCATCTAATTCCACCCATTAGCAGATGGCTAGGAACCTATTGTGTATTACCCAATTGGATGGTCCGCCATGTGTTTTTATTAAACCATGTCGGTAAATGTTATTTATACGTGGATTACTTGGTCAGATGTCAATATTAATAATTTAATAAATTCTACTGTGACAAAGCAAATGATTTCTTACAATTTGGAATAACGTTGACATTTGAGTTCTCAATTAGTCTGGTGAAATATCGGATTTGATATCTTTACCTTAGACCTGTTTACAGCTTCACTTGATTTGTCTTGGTTCTGATTTTTGAGTCATGTCAGTTAAACTTCTTCCAAGATATCATGTTTTATTATCACTCTCAATTCAGTATGCCCCACTTTTACACTCTTTGGCCAGATCTTTTGTGCTTCTTGATTTGGTTAGTGATACCTTTATTCTTTTTTTTGGGTATATGTGTAGGCCCATGTACGGGGTCACCAAGTGCGAAAACGATACAAAAAGATTGTTTGGTCAGTAAGTATATGGGAGAAAGCAGTGTTGCGCTGGAGAAGGAAAGGAAACGGATTACGTGGGTTTCGAAAAGAAGGGCTCATTGAGGGAACTAGTATGCGAACAGAACCAGCTATGGAGGACGATTATGATTTCCTGCAAGAAGGAAGAAAGCAGACTGAAGCAAGACTGCAGAAAGCCCTGTCAAGAGTAAAGTCTATGGTTCAATATCCGGAAGCAAGGGATCAGTACAGACGATTGCTGACTGTGGTTACAGAGCTCCAGGAATCAAATGTGAAGTTTTCTATTATCTCTTGCAAATCAGCCCTTTCTCCTTGTTCTTTTTTTTTTCCTTTTTACTTTGTTTCTGCGGTTCTGTGTCATGCCATTTGACTGGGTATTTTTGCCGAGTGCAGTGAGCTTAACATGATTGCTAGTCATATCTCTACCCATTTTCTGGTCTTAATAGAAGAGTCCTAATTTTTGTAGCATAGGGGCAATTTCTCATAATAGCATGCATAATTTACTCCAACTCAGGAGTGCTATGGTTTTGGTTGCATTGAGTTTTTTTCTTTTGACTGTTGATTATTTTATCGAGGTATTTGTCGTAGTTTAACTTTTGATGCCTTCAACAAGTTGAAAAGTTACTTTTGTATACTGAAAAAGTGAAATAAAGCTATTGTAACACCTAGATGTTCTGTATCCTATTTGATTTTGGCAGCTTTAATCTTAGTTCATTTGGACTAAATTGTTTTACTTGAGGTTTATTTCCACTCATTGTCAACCTCTGTGTAATTTTCACAGGCTGAGGAAAATATTCTGAACGAGTCTGTAGATGCGGCTGAGAGTGATTTCATGGTTGGGCTTGAGGAGCTATGCGGCGAAGATGACTCGTTTATGCCTTCTGCTTGATGCTAACTTTGCTTAATCTGTAAATATTCTTTCCTGTTGACATCTTAGTCTAATGTAAATTATCTTACTTCCCTGTTGTGACACAGCTGACATGTATGTTTGTATTAACTTAAAAGATCAAGACTGTGTTTATGTACATGTTAACTGTTTGACGAACTTAGCAATAAGATTATCGACTAACGATCGGTATCTACTTCCTGCCCTTTATCATCCTCCTCTTTCATTCATAAACTGGTTCGAAGAGGTTTGACACTGTGTGGGGCTTAAGCGTTTTGGTTTTCTGATAAAAAAAGATGCTTTCACTGTTTTGCTTTGAAGAGGCCCAAACATGCAAAAGCCGAAGCCTCGTCGGTTCAGCGTTACCGTGTCATCACGCATTTTTAGTTACTTTCAACTAGACTAGAGAGCGGTGTGGCTGATTATTTGCATGATTTATCCTTCTATTATTATTTTTATAGTGGGTATTATTCATTCTCGGAAGGAAGCCGACAGGAGAGAGATTCGAAATTATTTAAGGCTGCGTTTGGGAACTTTGATTTGGATTTGGGAAGTTGATTTAAAATCAAGGGATTTTAAATTTAGGATTTGAAATCCATGATTTAAGAAATCTTTTGTTTGGATATCTTTATTAAATGAAAGGATTTGAAATCTTTGATTTCTAAATCTAATGTTTGGGTACTTTATTATACATGAATTTGAATTTAAAATTAATGAAAATTTATTCTCTTTAACCCATCTTGTTTACATCAAACGTAATGAAGATGTGTAAAATAGTAACCAAAAAACACAAATTTAGGTAATTTTGGCGATGATAGCTACATTTGCTAAGTTTTCAAATTCATTGCCCACCATAACTTGTAAGAATTTCAACAAAATAAAAATAAAGAAAACTCTACAAACATATCAAGTATCTTACAAAAAAAAACATCTAAATAATACATTACCATCTGAAAAGTGAGAATAAGTTGATATCAGAGCAAATAAGTAATAATTATCCATTATCTTCTCAAATGCAGGTACAACTGACAATTACATAGTCAATTTGGTCTTTGATATACCAAGAGAAATGTTAATAAGAAAAAATACAAAGAGTTGCAAACTGAATAGCATGTGAGAAGAGAAGTATCCTTGATGTAAAGAAATTACAACTGAGGATTCAGAAGTGCTCGTATGATAAACCCTATCTGCAGCAACAAAAGAGGAATTCATTAGCCATCACGATATGGAGCCCAAAACCTGCAAAGAAAATGAGCAGATCAATAATTTTTTTCAATCAAGCTAACAAGCTAACAAATTAAACAAAAATGTCGGATAAGTGAGACTGAATAAGATAAGCATAAAAGCATATGGAGACTTGTGAGAGTATTGGTTAGGAAAATCAATACACTAGATTATACACAACCTAATAACAAACATGAGAACTACATTTGCGCACACTTTACAACTCAGCCTAACATCATACATGAGACTTAGTCACTCAAATTTGTCTAACATCATACATGAACCAAAGGAAGAGCACAAATAATTACTTCCAGTCCAGAATTAGCACCTAGAGAAAAAACACAGGTAATATAAAAAAGAAAAAGATTAAGAAAACAAAAAAGGAAGCATGTACTTCGGATCTCAGAACTCAACACATTCAGACATACATTCAGATACTTGAATTAAACAGTCAAAACTATTCAGATCCTTGATTTTTACAAGGAACGGTCGAAACAAAGACCATAGTCTATGAAATACAGAACATGTAAAATAAAAAAAATCAGACAAGAAATGACCCAAAGTGAGAACAAAAATGAGAATGCATGTTCTTTCCAACAAATTGAAAGAAAAAAGAATACAGAGCTGAAAGAAAAAAAAGAATACAGACCTAAAAGAACAACCTACTCTACATTAGCCCGTAAACTACACTAGTTATACAGCATTTTACCAGGTGCGACTATAACACACAATTAATATGAGACTCCTGGATGCAAAATGGCACCCAAGCACTGTATCAACCACCCACTAACCTCTCGAGATCAAAACCTAGTTACCTTACTAGCAAAGAAAATGAGCACATCAATAATTTTTAAGGCTACATGAAGCCTATTCATCAATGTGGGGGTGGTTATGAGTCAAGGGGAGAAGAAAATTTAGATGCAGTGACAGCTATATCTGAACAAATGACAAGTATACCTAATACATACCACAACCACAACCACAAAAAGCACTAGTGTTCCTGAATGACAAGTATACGAAAGTTTTTGCCCCACTTCTTTCACTCTTTTCTCTTCCTCCTATAGAAAGTTAACAGAAAATTAATATCACTTAACCGAAAAATGAAAGACGTACACATTATCGGTAATCAATGTTACTAAAATCTTAGACAGTACAATAGTGCAGAAAAAGTAATGTGTTCATACTCTGGTACTAGCATAACTTTCAACAATTGTTTAACCATAAACATCCAACCGTGTAGTAAATATAATCCAGAGTACATGAGTGAACTTCTAATACAGTAGCTGTTAAAATCTTGCTCAGGTTGTAAATGTTAACAGCATGCAGCAATACATCGTAACGAGCTACGAAATTACGAACATATATGAGAGGTTCCAAAAAATACAAGCTATGTTTTATTCATCAATGCGTGTACGGAAAGCTGGAAAAAAAACCTTCATGTCTTTGTCCATTTTCAGAGAAAACAAAGTTATAACATGTTACCGGGAATTGGTTCCTGCAATTGCCCAAGATTGTCGCCATCTCTTCTATTCATCGTGTGTGGTATTTATGATTGTAGTCATCTCTTCTAGAGACGCTACAAACTGTGAAGCCCAATATTAGCTTAATATCATCAGAAGGCGGCACTCTTTTAATAGGAAAAAACAACAACAATACCTTGAGAAGGAACATTGTGTCAGATTTGGATAATGATCAGCAATGAGTTTATCTATGTTTTAAGTGACCTAAAATAGATGCGTGGCTTAATGCTGGGCGTAGCTCTGGATTATAAAAATGAGTTGTTTTGATCATGAGCTCACAACATAAGCTCACAACACAGATAAACCAGATGAAATGTGACTTCAGGTTAAAATTGATCATGAGCTCACAACATAAGCTCACAACACAGATAAACCAGATGAAATGTGACTTCAGGTTAAAATCATAATCATTAGCAAATAATCATTGATAGCATTGATAATCATTATAGTCAAACAAATAACGATTCAAATTTCAGCTGCGACTGAAAGGAGAAAATTATTTGGCATGAATCATCATCTTCCCATAAGATATCTGTGGCAACAACTAGTACTTATAGCCTAATGGTTATATATGCTTGCAGCTTTCATCACAAGGGCCTATTCATGATGAGATCGACTTCGAGTTCCTTGGAAATCTCAGCGGAGACCCGTACACATTGCACACCAATGTGTTCATTCAAGGAAAAGGAAACAGAGAGCAGCAATTTCATCTGTGGTTCAGACTAGGCTTTGTTTGGTGTTTATAAGAAATAAATGAAAGTTCTATTATATCCTGTGCATATACTCTTGTATGATTCGGTGTATGTTGTAGACATATCTAAAACGCAACTAAAATGATAAACTCTCAAAGCTAGCAGATGACTGATATCACCAGATTCTAACTTAATATTGGAATGCCAATACAGATTTTTCACTCCCGATGTCCCTACAGATTAGAATCTATGTGGATATTCATAACTAACCAAATATTAGAACATAATATGGTTTTTACGAGTGGTCACTTTCTTTTAATTTATTTAATCATCTACAAACCCGTGCGTGGTAAGTGTGAAGTGATTCAAGGGTGAAAAAGGTCGATCCTTAATCGCCTTAGCAAGCTGGCTAATTCAGACTCTTATCTTAATTAAGCATTGATTTACTTAAAACCCAATAATGAAGGTTGGTTTATCTGTACTCATAGACATTCTTAACACCTTTAATTTGTATACAATTTGTGCTCATATGTAAAATTCGTCCTAGTTATAAACACGTACACAGTTAATTTTGTTAGATTCATGAGATAGATTCCTTCGCCTATAAGGAGTTCCAGAACCAACAAAAGGATCTTTATGCCAGCCTACCTGCTCTTTAATGGGTCTGCAGACTAAACTATAGCATAGTCTCTGCAATTTGACAAGGGAAAGAACATTTAGAAATAAGAAAAAAGAATTGCTGAAAGTATTACTTCTTGATTCTATTATAATTCTATGATCATAACATGCAAAGGGTATTGTAGCACACTTGTTTTCTCATTTCACTTCAAGTCTGCCTGACATTAATCAACAAACTAGGAAGTCCACTTCAGAATGAAGTGGGCAACAGCTAAGCTTAAATGAGATCAAAGTGACTTATAAATTGACAAACAACTCGATGGAGTTATACCGAGCATAACAACACTAGAAACCACATGGAAATCTCACTAATCAAATGTATTGACTCCAATTTCTGAACGCCTTGACAAATAAATGAAATTCCAGTATTAAAAACAAAATGAATCAAATATCATTACTGACACTAGAAAACAGATTATTCATTAGCATGGATCCTAAATTCAATGTATCAAAAAAGTTAATAGGTCCTTAATTGTATATGGAACAAGGATTTTAATAGTAAAAAATCTTAAATTTTTCTTTAACAAATTATACTCCAAAGTAGTTCAAAAGGAAGATTAGTTCTTCATTATTACCCATATATTTCTTTAGAAAGTCTACAACAGATAGAAATAATCATTATCACACATAAGCACCTCGCAACATCCAAATTCCTTCTCCGATTTCACAAGACCAAGTCAAAAAAAAATTAATAGTTGAAGAAGTAGTTCCTAAAGAAGGATCAACTCATCCTCAACATTTTATCTATACTAGTTGGATTGCACGTGCAATGCACGTGGTAATTTTTAAATTTTATTATTTTATTATTGATTCATTTTATTAAGATTTCTTTAATTTAAACCATGTATCAAACATATGGATAGAATTTAAAAATTCAAAAGGATTGAATAATAAAATTACATTTTTTCTTTAATCCTACTTATTTCTATCTTTTTAAAACAATTGATAGTCATACAATATAAACAATAGAGATACTATAAGTATCTATCTTTATCATTGGATATTTTGAGCTTTAATGGTTCCAAATTTCTTTCTAGCAGTAAGCTACTTACACCTATTACGAGTGTGAGATTTTCTGATTACATGTCTATGAAATTCATCGAATCAAAGTAAACTGCAAGATTCTTAAAAATTGCGAAGATAGTATAGAGCAAGAATTTTTGAGAAGGCAAAGGACCAAAGAATCATACTCTTAAAATAACAGTTCTATCTTTGATAAAATCAATTGCAGATGAAACCAAAGGTGGAAAACCATGAGACTATAACTAAAAATAAACAAATTTGTCTTTCCAGATGTGGATCATGTTTAAATGATATTTACTGTAGAGTTCACTTTAGATTGGGCTCTAATAAGTTTCTTATTAGAATGAAATTTAGATGTCGTATAGATCCACCGAACCTAACTTATTATAGGCTAAAAACAATGACATATAGAACTATTGATTCACCAAAGTCTCTTTTGAATAATTTGCTACCCGTGTTTTTTTAGTAAGCCGTCTGCATTTACGGCTTGTCCCGATGTACGACTACGAGAAGGGTCTCCTAACCAACCACTTGTTCTCCCTTCTGTACCATCTAAATTAAAGTTTTCAAGTACAAAATTTAGTAAATGCTAGTCTGGGAAAGGTATTTTTGATAGTAGTTAATAAAAATGAAGATATTATAAACACATTTTATCTATATTAGATCTAAGAACAAATGACCATGTTAATGAAACACAATAATTGAGTGGCACAGAAGCACTTGGTCAGGAAATAGATAAAACATGTATTGGAGCAAACATGAAGGAGGAAATTTTTTAATAAAAAAAGTTAAACATAATGTATTCTATAACATAAACAAATGTAACAAACTTAATAGCAGACCCCCAAAGGAACAGTTAGCAAAACAGCGACCAGATTGCCTATTGACATTACCAAGAATTGGTGCCAACCCAGAGTAGGTCCTACTCCAGAACCCTGTATAGAAGATAAAAAATGAGTAAGATGTTGATATGATAGAGAAAAAGAAATCAAAACAAATGAAAACCTATCAGCAAGAAATTAATAAGCCTATATATGAGAGAAAAAGAAATCAAAACAAATGAAAACCTATCAGCAAGAAATTAATAAGCCTATATATGCAAGACTCACAAGAGGTCGTGGAGGAGTGCTAGCAATTTGTGATTGGTACTTCAATATAGTCCAATCAAACACATATTCAAATAGAAATCTTGTAGATTATGATTCAACATCATTCAACATCTTGCTTGAGAATTACAGATATCTGAACCTGCCATCAGCACAAAATTCCTCATCAATATAAATAGTATGAGCTTATCCTCGTGAATAAAAAGGTCACAAAATATTCTTTTAAGTTATGAATAATAACGTTTGTCGTCAAACCGTAGTGAACGGCTGTAGTGGAAGTTGGATGCAAATTATGTAGGCTATTCACGGCGTAATGCCTGAAGATAATATGTGAATGTTGTCATGATTAAAAAATATATATCTATTTAGTCATTATTAAGAAATGTATGAAAATATGTTAGGGTATGTCGGAGTGGTGGAGTCCTAGGCGGCAACACAAAATGAGCGACCAAAATTTTCCCACGCATACACAATTGAAACACCATAAAGTATAAATTGATAAAATTATTTGATACTGATAATTGAAATACCATAAAGTATAAATCAGGGCAAAAGTATAAATTTACTGGTATTGAGCAAAGATAATTAAAATACATTTAATGCACGTGTATCCCAATTGGACTCCACCACTCCGACATACCCCAGCATTTTCCCACACAGCTAAGCCTGAAGACGAATATCTTAGAACTTAAAACTTATCGGAATATTATAATCAATTTTATGTGTAGAGAACTTCCTGAGCTTTCCAAAGACATATTACAGTAAGGAATCCATGAAGCGAGTCAAAAGATATCGTCCTTCAAAGTTGCATCTCGAAATCTATCCGAAATTACTCGTTTTTCTTCCATTGTTCTGCTTTCCCATAATCGGATTTCTTTCGAAAAACATCAATTATTGCCTCCGCATCATAATTTTCCCAAGATTGAAACAATGGTTTAAACTAAAAATTAGTATAATAGTTTATGCCTCTGTTGTTAACAGAGTGCTAGTATTTAAAAAGTTCTTGACAAACTTTTCAAAACATCTAGTTTACAGGTAACTCGTGTTTCTTCTCTGCATCTGATCTATTTATGTTTGAAAACACCTCATATTTTTTCTTTTATTTTATAAAAAAGGATCGTCGGTACTATTACTGACGGGGCAACCCCATGACCACAGGGTGTCGGAGGTTGCCAGAGACTGTACTGATGGTTGGACTATTATTATTATTATTAATTATTATCATACATTTTTACATTGAAGATAGACTATAAACACAATAAAAAGCTTAAAATGAAATTTTACTAACCTCACAAAGGCTATGACGTTAAAAGTTGTACAATATGGTTTAGATTTATAAAGGTTTCAATAGCTTTCTAAATTCCATAACTCCTAAAACCTAAGACCCTGATAGATTCATGCATTACAATTTACAAAACTTCCTTAACCATAATAAATTCATGATTTATAACCTACAAAAACTTTCTTGTTTTCCTTAATTTTCAAGCATTATTATCTTTAAATTTCATAACGAAAAGTTAGAATAACAAAATAAAAACAACAAAAATATAAACTGCTAGGCGATGCTAGAGTTGAGAGGATGTTGGCGAGTGTAGTGAAGGCATCGACCTCATGTACGGATCTGATAGTAAAGTTGTAGTCACATGAGGGGCGAGCGATGTAAGAGCATCAAGGGTGCAGTCACGATCCAGGCAAGACACCGGTCGAGGGAATGAGCCGGAGTTGAACCGACTACAGGAGGGTGATAGGCAAAGCCGTAAATGGTCTATATTGAGAACCTTAGCCTTTTTCGTGCCTTTGGCAAGGGCTAAACCAAGCATATGCTGATGACATAAATTGTAAGAGCTATTGATGAGAGGAAGAGAATCATGCAATCGAGGTTTGATTTTACAATTTTAGGAATTTGGCTTAGTAGATGATGTGGTGGGTTGAAGAGAATGAGTAGCTTAATTTATAATAGAAGATGAGATGAAAGAGAGATAAGTGAGAGGAAATGAAACTGATTGAATTATGGTTGATTAATATAAGTTATAAACGAAGGTGGTTATGAGAGAAAAGAAGTTGAATGGGTATTGGAGGTAGTGGGTAATTAAATTTGCTATATGTTTCTCATCATTTAAATCTTTATTGATTAGTGGCCTAAGTTCACAAAGCACATGTGAGGTTCACTACGCACAGATTAGTTTCTACCATTATTACACATAAATACCAATTAATGGAGAATGTAACTCTCATGTCTAATAACGGTGAATAGAGGCGGTAACTCATACTAATCATATATTTATAGAAAAAAATAATAGGAATAAGGATAGTCATATTATTTGAAAATGATGTTTTAATCATATGGAAGATGAATAGATGAGTAACAGCAAAAAAAAGATATTAAGTTAATGAAATGAAAGATGAGGGTAACTTTGTTATATTTACAATAGTTAAAGGGTAATTTGGGGAAGGAAAAGTTTTTTTGGAACTCCCTCTTTTAAAGGGTAGATAGATATATTGATCTAAATATCCTACAAACCAACAGAAACAATCCTAATAGCACACAAGAAGCCCAGCTCCGACTCTAATTGCAGGCTGATCAAGCTCCCATCAATTTACAACCAGCGTCATCAAAAATCCAAACTTTTTGACACAGACGGAGGGGAGGCGGCGGCGGAGGGAGGGGGAAGGGGAGAGAGAGAGATTTTACGAAACGAGAGAGAGAGGAACGGGACTTGAAACGAGAGAGAGAGAGAGAGAGGATCGGGTCGGGATTTGATAAATGACAGGGGGTGGGGTGGAATTTGAAATCACTTGTTTTGGGCTTCCAAATTCCTTTTTGTTAAATCAATTGATTCAAAATCTTGACCTAAATCAGAATCCAAACTAGAGATTTGGATTTGAAATACCCTGGATTTTAAATCCAAGCCCAAATCCAAGTTCCCAAACACAGCCTAAGAACTGAAACTAGATCAGTGATTTATCTGGTGGACGACGAGAAAATGCGACTAGTGCTAGTGTAATCTGCAGAGTAGTCGATACGGGATGGGGATTTTAGACGAATACACGCGATGAAAGTGCTGGCCAAATTAAATCAGTCCTCGGCGTCTTTCACTTTGTTCCTTTTTCTTAATCTATATTTTATTAACGATCTCCTACACGTCTCCGTGAAAATTTTGCCATAGTTGCTCTACCACTCTTCTAGAAGCACATTATGCGCTCTCCAAATTATCTACACCGTAACACCGGTGTAGATAATTCTCCAAATTATGAGAAAATTCTCCAAAGTCCAAGGGGGCTCAACTCGTATAACCTTTGAAATTTGAGTTTTCTCTCAAAAAAAACCCTGAACTTTGAGCTTTTCTCACCGAGCTACTTTGATGTGAAAATCCAAAAATTAGGGAGGAGGTAACGTCGCTTCTCTCCAAATGACAGACAAAATTTGCAATTTTTCACTGTTGCCAAACTCCACTTTTTATAATCTTTATTATATTTATCGAAGTAGATAATCATAAAAATAATAAGCGCCTTAACTCCAGCACAACTATCACATAAAGCATTGCCACGTGCTCAACCGCCCATCTTAACCATTAGCCACAACCGTCCGATCTTAAAATGGTCTACCGCTCAATGGCCACGATCTTTTTACGCGAAATCCTCAGCTCTTTTGATCATCCTCCCTCGTCATTTTCATTTTCTTCCATTCCCCCCCTCATCGGAGAAAATCTCGATCGAAACCCTAGAAACTTTTAATCCTCGTCTACTTCCTAAAATTGGAACGCAGAATTGGACGTTAGGGTTAGGGTTAGGGTTTTGGGGAGAGAGAGAGCAATGGGAGCCGCGGGTTCGAAGCTCGAGAAGGTTTTTGGAGATCAGTTCCCTGAAGGAGAAAGATACTTTGGCCTCGAGAATTTCGGAAACACTTGCTATTGCAACAGCGTGCTCCAGGTTTGCGTCGATTTCGATCCCAAATTTTGAATCTTTAGCGCGAACACCTGATACGATTGTCGCTATCTTTTTCGAATTTTTGATGGGACTTAGAACTATTTCGGAACTTGCGAACCATGAGTTCACTTTTTTTATCGCAATTTTCCTTCAGTTTGCATCGTATCTGATCCATCTGGGGATTTAGTCCCTCATCTCGTCCTCATTATTCACTTTTTTTTGGGTGCGAACTACAGGGACTAAATAACAATTTTAAACAGCATTTGAAGATGATGCTCTTCAATCTTGTTATCACATGAAGCATTTGTAAACTTTTGAATATCAGATGTATTAACATGTTTTGAGTTTAACATAATAGAAATCCTCCGTGATAATCCTCTTTCAGCAGATGTAAGTTCAATTAGCATGTGACTTTGCATGATGCTATCTTGGAACTCCCACATGTATATTATCGTGGTTGAAGAAGTTCCGGTTATTTATATGAAAAGATGTTTATGCGGGTAGGCAAGTTCCTTATAAATCAGGGTGCAATTATGGTATATGTTGTAAGAATATGTTCTGTTTTCTCTTCTTTCTCTTTGATGTCTGATGTCTGGTGATATTTACCAACTAGTGATACGTACAACTAATGGGAGCAAAGAGGACTAGATGGACCTAAACGAACTTGGTTGGAAGCTATTAAGAAGAATACGATAATAGTTAGCCCAATGGAGGAGATGACTCATAAAAAGAAGAGGATTCATGTAGACCGTAACAAAAACTTGTGATAAATTCTTTGTTGTTGTTGTTGACATTTACAACGCGTGGAAGAAGCACAATGCCCTAGATAGTTTAATACATATTTAAGTAAAAGGACCAGTAATTACATGAACACGCAATTATTTGTTTATGAAAATGAAAGTGGATGCGTTGTAGAAATGCATCCACAGATCAAGTTTAATTCTTAATCTGTTACGTGTGTTAAGAGTTTAATTTTGTTAGCGCCGGTTACAACTTCAATTCACTTCTGATATGTCGGCATTATAAGTTTTACGGTACCTCAAAAGGATTATTCACATCTATCCACCAGTTATTGGAGTATCAGGCATTCGATGAGTATTGCTCTCTCTTTTATCTAACTATCCACACAACATACCATGTGTATTATGTTTTTTTGTTTCTGCTATTCCCTCTGAATGTTGGCTACTTTTCTTGCAGTGCATCATGGCTTATCTGCTTTGGTAGTTCGATTACAGTAATTTTCTGTACTTGTGTTTTTTCTTTATATTCGATTTTCTCTGTTAAGATTTCTTGAGCGGTGTTTCTTCCAGTAATTTGTGTTTTTTCTTTATATTCGATTTACTCTGTTAAGATTTCTTGAGCGGTGTTTCTTCCATTTGTTCCTTTTCAGTTTCAGATGTTTGTATTCAGAATGATTAATTTCTATTATACGTTCTCATATAGCGTGAGTTTTACACTTTTGGGCATTCAAGTTTCTATCCATGTTTATGCAGACTAATCTGTAGCCACAGAAGCTTATGGTTTATTCTTAATATTTAACTGCTAGAACTTAATAGTTATAGGATTGATCATTTCATATGAATTCTTAGATATCATCTTTGTTTTTCCCCCATCATTAGCTGACTTCATTGCATGCCTCTTTTTGACTTGGTTCATTGATTATTTGTCCTAATATTTAGCTCTTTCGATATATTGATGCTATTTGGTGGAAAATGTTCCTTATTTCCTGCTGGATCTGGCAGTGACCTTGTCCATTAACCAATTTCCTTCTCCCAAACCTTAAATTTTCTGCTAACCATGCAATGCATAGTCCTCAGTCCTCTGTAGCTTCTTTTGCAATGTAGAATCAAATACTTTCTTTGCTCTGTATCTCACTTTGTTTGTGTATTTATGTCTTGTTTCCTTAAGCTATTCAGGGATGTGGTTGTGACTTGATAGTAGTAACAAAGTGAAAAATTGTCATGAGAAAGGAGACAGAGAGGTTCTGGTGCTGGGTTTTCTAGCATATACTTCCGTTCAATACCTTATTATCCAGGAATTCATAATGTTAATCCAAAGCACCATCATATCAGCTTGACATGCTATAAGTTTCAGTTGTTAGACTTGCACTCCAGTAATATGCTATTTAATTTATATATCATTGAAGAACGTTTATATGGGTTTATTTCCATTGGTCTTTTCAATAGCTTATATTTTATCCTTGAGGAAGGCAAAGCTTCAAAAAGAAGTTAAGAGTGAAAAAAATTAATGATGTGAATTTATCTGTGTGTTTCTTTGTCATCTTGAATTGGTCTTCATAAACTTCTATTAATGTTGTAGTGGCCCTGATCATATTTGATACTCACTTCTACCTCTTTGATTTTGCTTATAAGCCTATAATGATCTTCCAAATCTCCTCCATGAAAGAATGTACTTGCCATTTCTTTTAATTGCACTTTTTTTATGGAGAATAGCTTCGTAATACCAACCTTTGCAGTTTTACTTTTAAAAATTTTCTGTGTGCAACATTTTTTTTCATTTTTAAAAGTTTAATATTATGCTAATAGTTTAGGCCAAGGTTATAACTAGGTTTTCCATGCAGGCACTCTATTTTTGTGTTCCTTTCCGGGAACAGTTACTGGAGTATTATGCAAATAACAAGAATGTGGGGGATGCTGGGGAGAATCTTTTGACTTGTTTGGCAGATCTGTTTACTCAGGTACTAGAAATGAGTGGGGTCTCTGTTATTTGTGTATTTGCTGCAGCTCTATTCTTTTCTCTGGGAAGTAGATGAGAAAATGTTCATTGCTTTTGAAACCTGCCTTTGATACTACTCCTTGTCCTTGAACTACACTATCTAGCTAGTATCTCTTTGGTCAACTTGATGTTGGCATTTTTGGCAACCGTTTTGGAAGCTTAATCATCTTATAAAGACAGTGTGTCGATACTTTAGGCAAACACTGAACTACGGCAGCATGCTTTTTTTTCAGCCAGTGAATTATTTTTCCCCTTTTTACCGATTGTTGGAAAGGCATTTCTCATCTGTGTAAAGTTATTTCAGTGAACAGTAACCTCTAGTTATGATGTTAAATAGACTAGTTGTATTATGATATCTGAATTCTGAGTTGTTGCATTAGAGTTGCATTTGCTTTTCATTTACAACCTAGAAAAAACATGGATGAACTCTTTATTTATGTTGAGTTATTTAGACACTAAGTGAATTAGTCAATATTGTAAGGACCTAGTTGTAAGAATGCATTAATATAAAAGAGGGGTCTCTTAATGAGAGAAACTAACCCTAATTTTCACCCAAATATCTTCATGGTATCAGAGCCAGCCGCCGCTGCCAACCATCTGTCCTTCGAAACCCTAGCCATCCTCTGAAACCTTCCACGAGCGCGAGCAGTGAAGAACTTGACGAGCGCATCAGTCGACATATCGAGGAGCTGGTCGAGATCAACGCCCCTGAAGGCGAAGTTCCTGATCGTTCTCCTCTTCGGCTGACCTGTAGCAACATCGGTCTGAACGCCGACAACCTCAGCCGCTGCGAGAGTGGGAGGAGATGAAAGAACAAAACCCTAGCGAGAGTGGGGGTTGAAGGAAAGGGAGGAGGATGATCGGACGGCGGAGAGAGGCCGACAACCCTAGCCGCTGGACGAGTGGGGGGAGATGAACCCCGAGGTGGACGCTGGAGGAGTGGTCGGAGACCGCGAAGGCAGAGGAGGTGACTGGACTGAGCGTTGAAGGAGTTGTGAGTCGGTGATTTTGTGATTTTTTGGTGAAGGAGATGTGAGTCGGTGATTTTTGAGATTTTGAGGGGAGAGTAGATGACCAGGACCAGGACTATTGCTGATTAAAAAAAAAAGAGAAAAGAAAAAAAAGGAAAAAAAATGGAATCTGTAATCTGTATTAGATGATTTGTATTTTTTTTCTTCTTTTCTCGAATTGTAATAGCTTGTTTAGGTTCCCTCGACAGGTCAGTCCTAGAACTGATGAGAGAAGAGCTGATATCTCACTTGGTTGAGATATCCTGCTTATGGTTCTTGTTTCCTTGGTGAAACAGGAATTCTTGTTGATCTATCTTTCTTGTGGTGCTGTCGAAGTGCTGTCGAAATTTTCACTGCACACAAGAATATAAGTTAGATCGATGACGGACACTGGCAAAAATCCGATGGAAGGGATCATCAAGAAGTTGAATCCCGAAGAGATCTCAACACTAATGCAACTGATGAGGTTGTCGGCGGGAGAGAGCTCGACAAAGTCACAACCCAAGAAGGTGGAGCTTCCACCTATCGATGTAAAACTTGATGGACCCGCGACATATCTGAGTTGGTCGCGCCGGATGAAATATACCCTTACTGGGAGGAGCCTAGAGGGATATCTGACAGGGGAGAAGACTGAGCCGGCTGAGGGCTCAGCGGGAAGAGATGAGTGGAAATCCACTCATATGTTGGTGTACATCTGGCTTCTAAATTCTATAGCCCAGCCAATTGCTGCCACAGTGGATGGCCTTGGGAGGGTGCATGATGTCTGGGAGAAGCTGAGGAGGACCTACGATGGGGTGGAAAATAACTTGAGGGTATTCCAGATCGAGAAGGAGATCAGCGCTACAGTCCAGGGAGAGATGACTGTACAGGAGTACGCCACAGAGCTGGAACGCTTGTGGCTCGATCACGATCACTTCTCGCCCCTAGCGAGCTGCAAGGACCCGGAGTGTAAGGAGCGCGAGGCCTCTTTGCAGAAGAGGACCATGTTGTTTCTCCGAGGTTTGGCTCCAGCGTATGAGCAGAGGACGGCATTGCTACTAACCCAGACGAAGATCCCACCACTGGAGAAGGCAGTCTCGGTCATGATACAGGAGGAGAGCCGTATCAGGCTACAGTCTGGGATAGGTGGACTTACAGGGGAGAAGTCTGTACTAGTGGTATCCAACCCGGATAACACTGGATTCAGAAGGGAGACTAGGCAATGCTTCAACTGCGGAGAGGTAGGGCATCTGAGACAGATGTGCCCTAAGCCACCCAGAGAAAGGAACTGGGGTAGGGCATCTGAGACAGATGTGCCCTAAGCCACCCAGAGAAAGGAACTGGGGTGAACGTGGTCAGACTGGTGGCCGTGCAGGTAAGCCACCCAGAGAAAGGAACTGGGGTGAACGTGGTCAGACTGGTGGCCGTGCAGGTCGAGGAGGCAGGAGGCGTGTAGGCCAAGGAGTTGCTCACCTAGCTGTGACAGATGAGTATCAGACTACTGTTGGGATGACTGGAGCTGAAATAACAGAGCTGGAGGAACTACGTCTGTTCAAGCTTCAGGCTGAGAGTTCGAAGGGCAAGGGACAAGTCACCCAGGATCTGGCTACCACTACATGCTTTGGTAACTTTATTGGTTATGCTCATGCGAACAAAGGTACACAGGTTCAGGCACTTGCATCCACTAAAACTCATGTTGATTGGATCATAGACTCAGGTGCATCTAGGCATGTCACAGGAACATCTAGTGAGTTTGCATTATATTATCCGAGTAAGCATATGCATCCTGAGACAGTTCAGACTGCTGATGGGACATCCCAACCCATCAGGGGTACTGGCTCGGTCCATTGCACTTTATCTGTTACCTTATCATCAGTATTGCATGTTCCTTCGTTTCCAGTTAACTTACTCTCAGTTAGCTCTCATTGATCAATTAAATTGCACCGTGTTATTTGATCGAGATTTGTGTGTCTTTCAAGAGAAGGAAACGGGGAGGAGGATTGAGAGTGGTATCAGACGTGATGGTATTTGGTATTTGGACAGGGAGACAGCAATGATTGCTGCTGCTGTTAGCGGAGGGCCAGAGGCAGAAGCGATGCTTCAACATTGCCGGTTAGGGCATTTATCTTTTGAGAGTTTAAATAGATTAGAACATGAGTTAATGAAGAAAGTGGATAGAAAAGAGTTATTTTGTAATGCATGTGAACTTGGAAAACATACTCGTTCTACTTATAGAATGATTGGTCTTCGAAGTTGTGAACCATTTGCATTTGTCCATTCTGATGTTTGGGGACCATGTCCTACTACCTCTATCAGTGGTTTTAGATGGTTTGTTACTTTCATTGATTGTTATTCACGTATGACCTGGATATACATGATGAAGCAGAAATCAGAGGTTTACAAATGTTTTCAAGATTTCTCGGCTTATGTGAAGACACAGTTTGGAGTGCAGGTGAAGATTCTTCGAACAGATAATGAGACTGAGTATGTCAATAAGGAGTTTGCAGCTTTCATCTCTAATCAGGGAATTGTTCATCAAACCACCTGCCCAGACACCCCTGCTCAGAATGGGGTGGCTGAGCGTAAGAACAAGCACCTACTGGAAGTGGCACGTTCATTGATGTTGACAATGAATGTGCCTAAGTTTTTATGGAGTGAGGCTGTTATGACAGCAGCTTATTTGATCAACAGGATGCCATCAAGAGTATTAGGGATGAAGACACCATGTGAGATGCTTTTGGGCTCGAATGTTTTTGTTGTTCCACCAAGAGTGTTTGGATGCACATGTTATGTGAGAGATCACATGTTGATGGTGAGTAAACTGGATCCACAAGCAGTTAAATGTATCTTTGTTGGCTACTCATCAAGTCAAAAAGGATACAAGTGTTGGTGTCCCACTGAAAGAAGGCTGTTTGTCAGTATGGATGTGACTTTTCGGGAGCTTGAACCTTTTTATGGGGAGAAGACGGAGTTGAGTTCCTTGTTTGGAGATGGCTCTACTGATGCTAGTAGAGAGGGGGAGAATGAGAATGAGAATGATATTGTGGTCGGGATGATTCCATGTCCTCTTGAGTCACCGAGTAGTGATGGTACATCGTCGAGTAGTGGTGGTGACTTAGGAGTTGGTAGTTAAAGTCAGGGGGAGCTGAGAGTATACACGAGGAGACATAAACAGCAGCATGAGCCGCCTCCCGTGCCTGTGTCAGTACCCACAAATGTTGATGACCCAAGTCCCTCCTCTCCAGTGCCTTCCTCTTCCTCTCCAGTGCCTTGCTCTTCTCCTCCACCTGAGTCGATAGGTAACGATTCCTTCCCTGATCCATCTGATACTCCTATCTTGCCCCGCAGAACCTCTAGAGTCAATGCTGGAAAACCTCCAGCTAAGTTTGGTAATTGGGATACTGATATTGCGAATTACATTTCATATGCATCCATTCCACCTGCATATAAGTCATTCATTGCATCGTTGCATGCAGTGTCTGTACCTAACAACTGGCAGGTAGCTAAGCAAGATCCTAGGTGGTTGAATGCCATGCACGAGGAACTCCAGGCCTTGAAGAAGAATGACACATGAGAGTTGGTACCTTTGCCAGCTGGGAAGTGTGTTGTTGGATGTAAGTGGGTGTATACGGTTAAGCAAACTCCAGAGGGCAAGATCGACAGATACAAGGTCAGATTGGTTGCTAAAGGCTACAGCCAAACATACAGCATTGACTATGACGAGACATTTGCTCCAGTAGCAAAGATGAGTACTGTTAGAGTGTTGGTGTCATGTGCTGCCAACTTTAATTGGCCACTACATCAGCTAGATGTCAAGAATGCCTTTTTGCATGGAGATCTTCAAGAGGAGGTATATATGGAGATTCCACCAGGCTTCACTACTTCTCAAGTAGCTGGGAAGGTGTGCAAGTTGAAGAAGTCTTTGTATGGGTTAAAACAGTCTCCGAGGGCATGGTTTGATAGATTCAGGTTGGCAGTTTGTGGTATGGGGTACAAGCAGTGCAATGGTGATCATACTGTGTTTTACAGGCACTCCAAAACTCGTATCACTATCCTGGCGGTCTATGTTGATGATATTGTAATCACTGGAGATGACGCTGAGGAAATCCTACTGTTGAAGAAGAAATTGGGAGAGGAATTTGAAGTTAAATATCTGGGACAGTTGAAATACTTCTTCGGAATTGAAATTGCAAGGTCGCGAAAGGGTATAGTGCTTTCTCAGCGGAAGTATGCTCTGGATCTTCTCTCAGAGACAGCGATGTTAGGGTGCAGAGTTGCATCTACTCCTATTGAGCAGAATCATAAGATGAGTGCCGAAGGTGGGGACCCTGTGAGTAAAGAGCAATATCAAAGATTGGTTGGACGACTTATATATCTATGCCATACGAGACCTGATATTACTCATGCAGTGAGCGTGGTGAGTAGATATATGCATGATCTCAGAGAGTAGCATATGGAGGCAGTTCGCAGAATTCTTAGATATATTAAAGGAAGCCCAGGAAAGGGGTTATGGTTCAGGAGTTTTGGACATCTGAGAATTAAAGGCTATTGTGATGCTGATTGGGCGGGTTGTATGGATGATCGTAGATCCACTACAGGCTACTGTGTATTTGTTGGAGGCAATCTCGTATCTTGGCGTAGCAAGAAGCAAGATGTGGTGGCTAGGTCTACAGCTGAGGCCGAGTACAGAGCTATGGCAGTTAGTCTGTGCGAGTTGATGTGGGTAAAAAACATATTATCTGAGCTGCGCTTGTTTAGAAGAGACTCCTTACAACTTTGGTGTGACAACAAATCGGCGATTAATATTGCAAACAATCCAGTTCAGCATGATCGCACCAAACATGTGAAGATTGATCGGTTCTTTATCAAGGAGCAACTGAATAGAGGAGTTCTGACTTTGAGTTATGTGAAATCAGAAGAGCAGTTAGCTGATTGTTTAACAAAAGGATTAGGTTCTAGAGAGTAGGGCTGTTAATCGGTTTGAATGGTGCGGTTAATAGGTGACACCGAACACTGAACCGATCTATTTTTTCGGTTCGGTTCGGTTTGGTTTTTCACTTATTTTTTCATAAACCAATTGTGTTCGGTTTAGTTCGGTTTGGTTTTTCTCTGGTTTATATCGGTTATTCTATAAAGAAAACAAGTCTAGAAAAGTAGAAAGTAGAAATGTCTCATATTACATAACTGTTTCCGAAAAGAAAAGAAAAGAAAAAAATGAAAAAGGGCAGCCCACAATGCCACATAACAGTTTTCGAAAAGAAAAAAAAAGCGATGAAAAACTAGAATAGCAGAAACATGTAGATGATAGATCAGCACTTCAAGTTCAGCAGCAAGCTCCTCCATGACCAACATTTGGGGAAAGGGAAAGCTACAGTATCACGTGACAAAAGAGATTTCTTCGCCGATGACGAGAGAACCCAGGATTTGGGGCCGATGGATGGGAGAACCCTAGATTTGGGGGCGATGGACGAGAGGGGACGAAACGGAGTGCGAAGGACCAAAAGCTCGTTGGGTTTAGGACTTTGGGGGCGATGGACGAGAACTCTCAGAAGCCCTAGAAATATAATTATAGTCTAATGTAGACTATGTAGTAATGTTGGAACGCAGGCCAATGCCATCCTTTTTTTAGGGCTTCATTTAAGCCCAAGTTTGAAGTTTCTACATAAAATTTTATGTATATTAATAATATATATCTATAAATAATATAATTTCCTTATAATATATATAATCGGTTTTTCGGTTCGGTTTCGGTTTCCAGACATCCGAAACAAAAATCACACAAAACCTTTCGATTTTCGGTTATTTTTTTACGGTTTGGTGCGGTTTTTTCTTTCCTCTGTTTTTTCGGTTATGGTTCGGCTTTGGTGTGGTTATTTTTTCGGTTATCGGTTTTCAAGTTATAGCCCTACTAGAGAGTATGATATCTTTTGTAACAAGATGGGGATGATTGATATCTATCGCCCATCTTGAGGGGGAGTGTTGAGTTATTTAGACACTAAGTGAATTAGTCAATATTGTAAGGACCTAGTTGTAAGAATGCATTAATATAAAAGAGGGGTCTCTCAATGAGAGAAACTAACCCTAATTTTCACCCAAATATCTTCAATTTATACGAATTTTCTTGTAAGTTAGCAACAAGGTTATCGATAGCGAATAGCATCGCATAGCGATGAGGTACCGCTAAGGTTATTTGCGTCTATAGTGGTAAATAGCGCATAGTCAAATAACGGTCAAATTTAAATATATTTAAATATTCTAAAAAATATAATCAAATAACGGTCAAATTTAAATATATTTAAATATTCTAAAAAATAAAAAAATTACAGCAAAATCTAAAAATTCTACAAATGCATATTTGATGATTCATAGAGATTCTAAGCATGAAATAGATGTGTAACAATTGCATAATATTAACAAAGTACAATAAGAATGAAAAAGTGTACTTGTTTATCAAAAAGACTGTTATTTGTCCCATTCCTTCAACTTTCAAGTCTCTAATAAAAGAATTCTCAACAATAGAAAAGCATTGATTAGTAACACCATCATTATATTAACTATTCAAAGCTTGTCTTAAAAATAAAATCTTCAGGCATAGGTAAATGAGCAAAGCAAGATATGTCATTATAGATAATAACAGCCTATAGAGGGAGAGAACTGGGGGCTTTTAGTGATAAAATGGGTTGGGTTTGGGTATGGGTCGGATAGAATATAAAAGCTATCTGCCAAATAAAAGTGGGGTTTAGTGTTAAAAGAGCTAAAAACATGCTATGACACGCAATCACGAGCAAATAGCAGTTTTGGCTGCTATTTGCTATTGTTTTCGCTGATAGAATAGCGGTAGCTAGCACTAACGCTATGAAAATCACTATAGCGGCGCCACGCACCGCTATTTACAACAGTGGTTAGCAACTGACATGCTCAAAATAATTATTTTTAATGTGTTTCAATCTCAACTATAAGTCTAGAGTGCAATACACGACTTGCAAGCACATCTCAAGGCCTTTGCCTAGAGGTTATTTGCTAGATTTTCAATTCTTTCTTTGGATTGCATTACAAACTATATTTGCAATATAGATTCCAACTTATGGTTTCATATACTTTTTTGTCTTTTTGCATGCATAGCTTGGAAAGGTTGACGATATGAATTTATATGCGAGACACACATATTCTTTCATTTTCGCCTCATTGCCCCTGGCCAGTTAATCATAGGACCTCTTTTCCATGAGCCATGGTTCAGTGTTTGCAGGATATTACTATGTTTATTCTAAGAATCTTTACCTTAATGATCAGGCTAATATCTGCCAGCAGTCTTCAGAAGCTGTTTTATTAATAATCACTGTCGTTGACCCATTACGGCTACAGACTTTAGAGTTCAGACTGTTCACTGTTGTCTACAAGTAAACAACTTAGGGAAGATATTCTTTAAATTTTTTAATATTTTTATAGATTTAAGCTTATTTTGATACTGTGTTATGTTGATCTCTGTCCTGTGAAATACACTTTTTTTTTTCAATGACCGATGCCTGTCTTTCTTGATGCAGATAAATTCCCAGAAGAAGAAAACTGGTGTTATTGCTCCAAAGAGATTTGTACAAAGAGTAAAGAAAGAGAATGAAGCATTTCGAAGTTACATGCACCAGGTACTTTTAACTGTCCTGATGCTGAGAACTCATGAATCACGAGGCATGGTTTTATTTTGTTTAGTTGTTTAGAACTATGCTAACAGCAGTAACTACCTAATCTCTGCATTCCTTAGCTTCTTTTCTTGAACTTTATACAGTCGTAACAAGTAATGTATATTTTGAGATATATAATACCCTTCCTTTGTCATTGCTAATATAGCAACTAATAGGTAACTAATTAACCAATCTTGCCAGAAAGCTAGTAGATTAAACTGGTAATCGATCATGCTCCACTATTGGTGTTTCTTTTGATAATAGCTCGTTAAACTCTTTTACATTATATAGAGAGTTGATTTCCTTTGTACCATAACAGTGTTTTTTAGAAATGCTAGAATTGTTGCAACAATATGTGTAAATCATGCATTTTTGGTTTTTTTAAGTGATTGGCACATGAATCTAAAGATAGATATGTAAATATGCATATATGATTTATGTGTTACCTAATAGGACTAGACTCTGAGGTCTGCACCACTTATATAATAAAGACTAAATTACATTAAACCCCAAGGGACTTTCAGCATTTTGCAGTAGGCCCCTAATAACTTTCAGAATCGCACAAAACCCCCCAATAAGTTTTGGAATTGCAGAAAACCCCCCATTAAGTTTCCACATTTTGCAGATGATCCCCATAAATTAGTGGGGAAAACAACATTAAAAGACATTTTAAAGAACAATTCAGCAAAAAAAGAAAAACAAAAAAAACAATTAGGGTTTGGGACCGCAACCTGGGTGCGAGCAAGCGGAGAATGAACGACAAAAGATGAGAGATTTCTATTTTTGGGGTTGAAAAATAAAAAATGTCATAAAGGCGTTTTAAAATAATTTATGGGATATTTTGGCTTTTTAACTCACGTGAGTTGCATGTGCCATGTCAGATGTAACGGTGTTAACTTTGGGGGTTTTCTACAGAAGTTATTGGGGGTTTAGTGTGATTTTGAAAGTTATTGGGGGTTTACTGCAAAACACCATGCTGGTGAAGCATGCGCGTTCCCTGGTTTTGGGTCCTGCTGCTTTATGAATATTCTGCAGTTGGTTTGACGTTGAGCTGATCCATCTCTTCGAATGGGTACATGATTTGCAGGATGCTCATGAATTTTTAAATTTCTTGCTGAATGTGCTTGTTGATATTCTGGAGAAAGGATCAAAAGATGCAAAAAGCACCCCTGAAACCAAGTCAACATTAGAAAAGGTTACAGATGGTCCATGCCCTCCTCAAGCCAATGGTTTTCATAAAGAGCCTCTTATTACTTGGGTTCATGAGAACTTTCAGGTTAGTCAAGCCTTCGCATTTGATGATCTGTATACGGTACTGGTGATATCTCATGTTTGAATATGTTATGTTTAATGCAGGGTATATTGACTAATGAAACAAGATGTTTGCGTTGCGAAACTGTCACTGCAAGGGATGAAACCTTCTTGGACTTGAGCCTTGACATAGAGCAAAATAGTTCTATCACAAACTGCCTCAAAAACTTTAGCTCAACAGAGACCTTGAATGCTGAGGACAAGTTCTTCTGTGACAAGTGCTGCAGGTTCTTATCTAACCTTCCCTTTAAGTTACTAATCTGTACTTTGGCGCGTGCTATTTCATCGTAGAACTTCATATTACTCCACTTCTAACGATATGCAATTCCTTCACCTTATATTCTTCTAACAAAGCAATGCCTTGATGTTCTAAAAGTTTGATTTTCTTATCAATACTTTGATTGTGAAATTTATGGTTATGTGTGCCTGACAGTTTTATCTAGTTTATGTACTCATTGTGTTCTTCTAGCTATATTTTCAATCATTTTGCTGATAACAAAATTTTTTGTATTGTCATCTCCCATGCAGTTTGCAGGAAGCCCAGAAGAGGATGAAGATAAAGAAGCCTCCGCAAATCCTGGTGATTCATCTCAAGCGATTCAAGTACATTGAGCAGCTTGGTCGGTATAAGAAGCTATCGTATCGGGTTGTTTTCCCCATGGAGCTAAAGCTCAGCAGCTCGGTCAATGATCCAGACTCCGAGTACTCTCTCTTTGCAGTGGTCGTCCATGTCGGTGTTGGCCCAAATCATGGTCACTACGTGAGCCTCGTCAAGAGCCACAACCACTGGTTGTGCTTTGATGATGAGAATGTGGAGATGATTGATGAGGCCATGATGCAGAGCTTCTTTGGATCAGCACAGGAATATTCAAGCAATACGGATCATGGATATATCTTGTTCTATGAGAGCACCAATAGAAAGAGTTGAGAGATCAGAGAATTTTCTGAGATTGGAGTATTTTATAAAGCTCCGCCCTAGATACGAGACGAGGTTAGATGCGATAATTTTCAGGGGGTTATAGTGTACAGTGATGGGTGGAAATACGGTCCTTATGCTGGAGAAGGAAAAATAAAACAACAATGTACATGGTTGTTGAGATTTTCTCGAAAGAATTTGTAGCAAAGACACTGTAGAAAGTTGGTAATAGAAAATGCAATTGCAATTTGAGGAATTTAGTATAATCATACAGTTGCAGCTGACGATGATTATTAGGAAGCAAATCCTTCGCAGTACACAGCCCTCTTTATTAACCTTTGTTGGTCGATAATTTGTCATTTTGATTGTTGATTATTTGAACTTGCTAGCTTTGTGGAATATGCAATACCATTTTCGTGAATGAGTGAATTAGACACGCAGAGTGCTCTTTGCGATAACTGTTCGTGGACATGAACTTGATCTTATGATATTGGGTTTTACACAATCCATCAAGAAAATAGTTTTGAAAATACTTTTAAAGAACAATCAACATTTTTTGAAAAAGAAAAACTACAATTAACAACAACCGTCAGTGTTTTCTGAAATGTATTTTTAGAATTGCCTCTCAAATCGTTGATAATTGTTAAGTTACCCTCCCAGTTGTTTACTTCCTCCAATTTTACCTCAACCCAAATTATTTTTAAGGCGTATCAATTTCCAATAAAGAATTATTTTTTATCCCTAGTTCACCAAGGTATCGGCTAAATAATCATATTGGTATTTTAATTCCATCTCATTTATCAAGAAGGTATTTTAATCAGGCAAACATACTTTAAGGCATTTTAATTGATTCAACTTACCAACAAGGCCATTTTTCTCGTCGGCGACCAATTTTTCGGCAAGAGTTCGTCACGTGTATGGCACGTGATGACTTAAACAGTTTTTTAGCTGTTGATATGACACAGATTTTCTGACCCGGCAGTGTTTAAATGCGGGAATTAACCCTCTAAAAATCCCAATTCACACAAAATAAGAGATCTGTGCCACATCAGCAGCTAAAAAACAGTTTAAATCATCATGTACCACGCACGTGACGAGTTCTCGTCGGAAAACTGGTCGCCGACGAGAAAAATGGTCTTGTTGGTAAGTTGAATCAATTAAAATGTCTTAAAATATGTTTACCTAATTAAAATACCTTCTTGATAAATGAGATGGAATTAAAATACGAATATGGATATTTAGCCCCAAGGTATCCTTACCGAGAGTAGCCACATCTCCAGAACAAATAACACTTGCTCGACCGCGTTATCCTTCTATCCTCCAAAGACCCCGAACCCTCCTGCAACCAAAGCTAGAAAAATCTCGAGAAAGAGAGGAATAATGCTAGCGTTGGGGATCCCTTCACCTCCTTGCTCTCCCCCAATTCTCTCTTATTATTCCTCTCCAAAAACCTCCAAATTCTCGTCTCTAACCTCCTCCTTCAATGGCCTCAAAACTACGAGGATCAAAACCTCAATCCGAACTCCACTGCCCTCCCCCTCCGACAAAACGGTCGTCAGAATGGCGAAGAGAGAGGAGGAGCTGAAGGATATCAGGGCCAAAACAACCGAAGAGATCAATGAAGAGATTGTTGATCTCAAGGGGGAGCTCTTCATGTTGAGGCTTCAGAGGTCGGCGAGGAACGAGTTCAAGTCCAGCGAGTTCCGCAGGATGAGGAAAAGGGTAAGAATGATGAGAATTCGAAGACCCATGTTTTGTTTTCTTAGTTCTTGCGGTGTTGCCGGTCAAAATTGAGTCTTTGCGGAGAAACCCCCTTTGTTTAGTTTGTTATAGTTTTTGCTGCTCGTGATGCTGAAAAAGTTTGCTGTTTTTATACTGTAGAAAATAATTTATCTCTCCTGTTCCCTTATATTTTGTTTTATTTGTAGACAAGGGGTTTTGCTGTCTAAAATTTTACAAGGTTTTTGGAGATCTTGCATAATTTCATGTCCACACAACTCGGCAGAGATTGTAATGTACATAATTTTCTCTTCCTAATTCTTGGTTTTGTGATGGTTTGTAAATTGAATATTTGTTTTAAGATGTATTTTAAATTTAGTTCTTTATTTCCTGTTTTATTGTGTCGTGTATTTGGGCTATATAGTCTGCTTCTGTATCCTCGTCTCGAAAATGAGCTGACATCGATAGGTGTGCAAGAAAATTGCGTAAGGGCTTCTTGCTATGATAATTTATACAAAGATCATTCCTAGTAAAGCTGGGACGATTTAGGGGCAGGTAGCCTGGTCGTTGAGAATGGCTATCTTATAGAAACATACCTAATAGCTAGAGTCTGGATTGAAACAAATCACATCTGAAAATTCGGCTTTAAGAGTTAACCAGGGCTTTGTTGTTAGTTTTATGAATTTTAGTGAAGGTGGCCTTGTATAGATCTGAAGTGGGAGAAGGATTATTGTTTATGGGTATTTATCTATTTTACACAATATTAGCTAAGTTGTTCATTTGTCATTGCTTTGTGTTTTGATACTCGACCTCTACATGGTTGTATTCATTTTCCTCGAGTTACAGTGAAATAACTTTATAAGAGGTGGCAGTTTGATGCTTATGCAATGGATTTCAAACTTGTGACACACGATGGTTGTTAGGCTGCTATGTTGCCAAACCTGAAGCAATGTGCAGCTTGCAGTGAGTTACTAGAGTTACACGCTGCATCAAAGACATGAACCATTGCTTTGGAGGATGAGACTAGGTTTATTGCTGATAGTTATGATAAATATTCGAATGAAACAATTTCAAAGCTCTGGTGATCTATATAGTTTCTCTTATGTTGCAATATACTTCCAGATAGTGTATGATTGTCAAGATGGTGGTGTGTCTACATTTAATGGATTATAAAATTAGAGCAATATTTTTTGTAGGTAAAAGTATACTGTAAGATTAGCGGCATTTTCCCAACAGTTGCATAGTAATCTAACTTTAATCTATAGGGCAAACATTTGTACGTCATCAACCCTAAAGCCATGTTTCAGCAAAAATTCAGTGCTTTTCTAAACTTCTGTAATTGAATGAGCCAACATTTAAGCTCAGTTACTGACTATGGACACCTTTGTATCTTGTAGATTCAATTATATGCTAAAACTTATTACTTATAAGGCCAGTATCATTCTTATTATTTGTTAGTTGGAGTTGAACATGCATAAGCTGCATAGCAACTTACAATCTCATCATATGCGATATTACAACAGCTAACTCTAAAAGCCTCTTTCACCTTTAAAATCAAGTATCAGCAAGCTTCTCCTGAATTTCAAAATGAACAAATTTCTGCCTAAAGAAAGTGGTTGCACTGCGTAACAGGCTTCCATTTCTTATTAGCTTCACAAGTTTTCAAGCATGATTTGTGAGCTTGTCAATTTATGCTTCCTTCCCACTACAAACCCAAATAGATGCCCCTCTCAGAATTTTAAATTACAATTACCGAATTGATTTGTTTAATGATCTATCCTGATGCCACTATAAACTTATTTTTCTATATTCAGGTAGCTAGGATGCTGACAGTAAGAAGGGAGAGGGAGATTGAAGAGGGAATCAACAAAAGACTTTCAAGAAAGCTCGACAGGAAATGGAAGAAGAGCATTGTGGTTAGGCCGCCTCCTTCTTTGAGGAAGAAGCAAGAGGAAGAGAAAGCTAAAGCTGCAGAAGCAGAGAAATCGGCATAACTTACCACATATTCCCTGATCTTCTTCTTCTCAGTGTATTTTTAACGTTGGTTACTTTTCTGAACAAGTTGTTTTATTTTGCATTCATAATGAATACGTTGAGCACTTTTGCTTAAATTACGTGTGATCTTCAGTCTCATTCGCAATGTTTCCTTTGAGAATTGGCATCTGTGATTATTGAAGGAAGCCATGTTGTTATCAGATGATTAAAGTGGTGTTCTCTGGTGTCAAACTTTATGGCTAGTATCAAAATGGATCATCAGGCTATTCGCTCTCACATCTTTAGATTCCAAACCTGAAGTAATCCACAATATCTTTTGATCAAAATCACATCTTAATAGAACATCTGAAGGGCTTTGGAAATCAATTTATTGAGCATGGGATATCATCCTTTTACCTTAGTTTAATTATCAGCCACTTGTGATTAATTGAAATTCTTCTGAAATGTAAATGGATAGAAGCATGTACTTTTTTGATTAATCGAGCTTGTTTAAATTGTATCATTGAGCTGAACATGTTCTGAATATTATTATTTTTCTTTTGTGTTCTCATCTTTATTTTTGTTTGAAGCAAGTTTTTTGTAGTTCTAGGTTGCAAAAGTTCATTAAGCACCTAGTAATTTCTTAACCATGTATATAAAGGCCGGCATAATTCAGCAATTGATCTAACAAAACAAGAAGCCAAGTTACTCGTGGCTTTCATGTATCACTGAATAATTCAGTTGGTGTTCAAAAGAGTGAGAGGAAAATGACAGATGACATCCTTAGGCCAAACCAATCCCTAGATATTTTTTAGTTATCAAGTTGTATACCATCTCAACACTAGGAAGCGACATAGTTCATCGCTCTAAAGAATTTCTTCTATCCACATATTTTATTGTGGTTATGTAAGCATTGAATTTAATAAGGAATGTTGAGTTTTTTTCTAGATTAAAAGAGAATGTTTCCATCAAATTCTGGTAAGTGATCTATGAGGTTATAAAAACTTGAAGTTGACATGGATATCATGTCAGTTAAAAATACAAGGAGAAGAGGCCCTCTGTCTGCATCAAAAAGAAATTAAGGGACAACAAAACTTTAATGGTGAAATTGATCCCCAAAAAGATTCTACTATATGTTTGCTTAAGATGCATAGAAGAAGAGTCGAATGATTTCACTTGTAAAAAACTGCTCGTATGGACATTGCTCTAACGCTAGCATGTATAAAGGACAAACATTTGGCAGCTTCCAATTGATCATTTTTGATGGGTTATATATCGCCAAATAGAATTTACAATATAGTATATATAATCCAACTTGAACGGCATTGACGTCTCATATCCATTGAAACGTACTTGCGAGAGTTTTACCTCAAAAAGGACATGGAAGAATCCATAAGGAAACATATTATTTTGCCGATAAACGTTTAGATTGATTTATCTGGCTTAATAATTTGGAATATACGCATCTGACTTTTTCATCTATTGTAATCCCTAAGATGAGCTTTCATGGATCCCATACTGTTACAAGCAACAGGCGGCAAGAGTTGTACGTGTTCTATATAAAGCTTGTTGATTAGCTTCCTATTGTCATAAGAGAAAACTGTTTTCTCTGTGTACTTTTTGAAATGAGAAAGGAGATTTCTGATAAAACTACATCAGCAACCTATCCTTCTCATATGGAGAAAAAAGACCTGTATGTTGAGGATGAACTTGAGACTTCTCCAACAGTCATCCCAAAGGCATAAGCTCTCTCATATCTTATGTAATCCAATGAAATGAGTTATTGTGTTGAGTTCTTAATTAACTTCTTATTATTATTTTTTAATGGTGAAATAGATTGTGGCAGAGTTCATCGGGACCTTCATACTTCTCTTAATAGGGTGTGGATCAGGGTTCATAGATCAAAGGCACAACATAACAATAGTGGGGATAGCCTTTGCTTGGGGCTTGGTTGTAATGGCCATGATATACACTTTAGGCCATATCTCAGGGGCTCATATAAATCCTGCAGTCACTGTTGCCTTTGCTATCATCGGTCGATTTCCTTGGAAGCAGGTAAAAACCCCTAAACCTCGTTAATGTAGTAGTCTTGTTTCTTTTATTAATTCACTTTGTAGTATCTGATGAATGTTGTCTTGGTTTTTTCAGGTTATTTTCTATGTTGTGGCTCAAGTACTAGGAGCAATCCTAGCGTGCTTGATGCTTAGGTGGTTGTTTAATGGAGATCGATTGAACGCCATGTTGACTCTCCCTGCAGCTGATACCGATGATCTCACGGTTGTAGCTTGGGAGATCTTGGCATCATTTATTCTCATGTGGGTCATTTGTGGTGCTGTCACTGATTATAGAGCGGTACTGTATTGAATTCTTCGATTTCACATTCATGTTAAATTTGTTTCTTGATGGAACTAGATTTCTAAATTGTAAGGATCTATCACTGAAACACCCTACCTTCCGACTAAATTAAATGCGTGTTTGTCCTACTAATTGTTGTGTAGATCAAAGAGCTCTCGGGAGCAGCAGTTGGAGCAGCAATCTTCCTTGATGTTCTCATCACTGGGTATGCTTATGATGCCCACAGCCACCATTTGTCAGCATATGTAACAGTTTATGTTCATCGATCACTTTAAATCACTCTATCTCTTGTATCGTCGAACCTTCTATGAAATTTTGTAGTAAAATAACCGGAGCTTCGATGAATCCTGCAAGGAGCATAGGACCAGCCATCGCAGCGAACAACTTCAGAAAGCTATGGATTTATATAATATCCCCAGTTATCGGTACAATAGCTGCTGCATTGCTGTACAGTCTTCTTCTATCCCCTAACAAAGTTCAGAAGAATACATCAAAGAATGTGACTAGCAATGTAAATGGTATTCACAACCCAGCTTATAATTCAGGTATTTTCTTGCTTCTTTTCTTCTGATAAAATCTTAAGTTAGAATATTTTATCAGTTTTTTTTTTTTCCAATTTTCAGGGAGGGAGATGGAGCTTGCTTGAACTAATGTAACCAGATCTCGGAGTTGATTGCCTATATTTTCTTTCTACATTAATTCAAGTTGCATGAAAGCTAGGCATTTAATTTTCTGGGTGTTTCTTTTTTTTTTTCCCCTTTCTTTTTCCAGCCAATATGTGTATTTCCTTTGTTTGTTGAACGTTTGATGCATGTTAAGTGGTTAAATGTAAGAAAGTTGAGTTTTTTTTAATCTCTGTGACTCTCCTTGTAGATGTCAGCATATAAACCGAAGCAATGAGATGTATATATGTTCCTTTTTGCCCTTTATTTTGTTTTATTTTTAAATTTTTGCGTGTGCGTAGTTTTGTATTTTTGTACGTGTATTTCTTATTTGCATGATACGCTTACTATCTAGTGAAGTATTCAACTTCGCTCATGCTATAAGGAGTGACGACGTGTGTGAGCGGAGTCCTGTGATTAGAAAGCTTGATGGGCTTAAATAGAAACTTTTGGGCCAATACAAAAACCGCTCATCATTGTCAATATTGCCCAGAGGCCCCAAATCTTCTATAACTGCATATTTACCTTCCAAATCTTCATAATTACCAACACTCCTCAAATCTTCAATTTTCAGATTATACCCGCCAAATGCAACATAGCTGCTAAATTAATGGTGTATGGCCTTAGTTGACAAAAACAGCCCTCCTCTTCTTCACAATAGCCACATCCCCTTCATCTCTCTCCTTTTTTCGGTTAAAGATTTGGGGGCGCATAAATATCAATGTTTTAAATATCGGCCGTCATGTTGGACACGTCGGCTAACATGGTGGATTTAATGACCAACTGACAAGATATGGAGTTTTTCAATGCGTAATACGTTTTTATGGTTCATGCCGGATATATCGGGGGGGCATGTCAGCTATATCGGCCGATTTTCCATTCTAAAAAATTAGCTTTTTCGTTATGTCTATCTAATCACGTTTGTGTTTAAATTCCTGATTGAATTAGTATTGCTTCCAAAAATAAAACCCGATTAATTACGGGGAGAAAAAAGACCGAAGTTATTTTCGTCACTCATCTTGTCACTCTCCATCTCTTTCTCTCTCTCATTCCAAAGATAAAACCCAATATAAACTTATTTGTTTGGGCTAGACCCAAGTAAATTATTGGATCTCAGAAATGGGCCAGGCCCACAGCTCAGATGATGTAAATAAGTAACCAAACCCTCCACGTTCTCACGTTAAACCCTAAAATCGAAATGAA